TGATTTTAAGTATAAATTTCCTTTTTGTTTCCATTGTCTCTAGAACTTTGTTATTGCTCACATGTTCAGTCCATGTTATTCTCAGCATCCTTCTGTAGAACCACTTTTCTGTTGCTTCAAGTCTCTTCTTCATCTGCAAGGAGATTGTTCAGCATTCACTGCCATATAGGAGGACTGATATTACATAACATTTCTGTACTCTTTTCTTTGTTTCTAACATTTTTTAGCTTTTGGAAGGCATCTTTCTCTATCCCAATGTGTCTTCGTATTTCAGTTTTGCACTTTCCATCCTCTGTTTAAACACTTCCCAAATATTTAAATTGTACTTGCTTGATTTTGGTATCTCCAATTTCTAATTCATATGTTGGGCTGTTCCTTTTGCTAACAACCATACATTCAGTATTCTTGCAATTGATGTTTAGTCATTTATTCTTGCTTTCCTTCATTACTTTCTGTAGGAGTTTTTGTAGTTTCCTTTCTGTGTCTGTTATCAATATTGTGTCGTCTGCATACCTAATATTGTGGCCACCAATAATGAATTTTAATAGGACTTCTTATTCTCTCAGAATTGCATCACTGTATAGGTTGAATAAGTCTGGTGAGAAGACACATCCTTGTCTTACAACCCTTTCTATTTTTGTATATTCACTGAATTCATTTTTTATTTATATGCAGACACTGTACTGTTCTTGTCTTATTTCCAGTCTGATTCTACTATGTACTCTATTCTTCAGAATTCAAATGATAAGTTTTGTTATATGGCTCATTAGGCTAATTGTCTGATGGAGTTCTCATTCATTTGCACCTGGCTGTTTAGGTGATTCTATGAAAATGGATGTACTTAGGTCTTCCCGTATATCATCACTGTTGCATATTTCATTTATCATGTCTGTAATCTTCTCAATACTGAAATAATCTAATGCTTCCAGCATCTCTATTATGATTCTTCTGGTCTTGCTAATTTGTTTTTGTTCAATTTGGCCAGTGTTGATTCTACTTCAGATTTTAATATCTCTGATCTTTTGATATTTCTGTCTATTGCTGGGTGTTCTCTTTCACCATGGAAGAATTCTCTGATGTATTCATTTAATTTTTGAAGTACTTTTTCTTTCTCTAATATCAGTGTCTTGGTCTTGGATTTTATGAATCCTCTTGATGAGCATTGTTCCTAATTTCTTTATGCATTGTCCTATATTCTGTGTTGTATCTTGGTATTGTTTTCTGTCTCCTTTTCATTATGTTGAGAATTTCATTTGTCATCCATTCTTTTTTTTTCTTTGTCTATTTTTCTTTAGGATAACCTTGATTGCTGATGTTACTAATTCTTCTCTTAATGTATCCCATTTCGAGTTTCCATTCTCCTTTTGTCCATTTTATCTGTTTTTAACACTGTCCATATATTTCTCCTTCACTTTTGGGTCATTCAGGAGTCTGTTGCATTACAATTTCATTGCTACAACAGCCATCTTTAATTTCTGTAGTTTCACTCTAAGTTTACATATCATTGGAAGGTGGATGCTCAGCACTTGGGTATGTTTTGTAGTGTAAAACTGCATTACTGAATATCAACATCACTGATGTTTTTCATCTAATTGGGGTGAAATAATGGAATACCTAATAGATGCTTGCAATAACTCATTAATATGAGTATGCCATTCCTGTATCCTTGGGATGTTTGGGTGAAATGATTCCCTCCCAAAGCATCTCCCTTCAAAGGGCTCTTCATAGTGGGTGGTGAGCAGGAATGATGAAACTTTAAATCAATCTTTGATGACATCAAAAATTAAAAATAAAACTTCTTATGAACTTATTGTATTGAATCAACAAAAGAATCTCCATTGACTAAATTGTTGCCATTTCTAATGGAAAAATTATAAACTCTAATATAACTCTTATATCTGTTAAATGGTATGATATTAGTACAGGTAATAAAAAAGGAATATGCTGAAGAATTAAGATGGACAACACTTGATAAATTAAAAATCAAAGCCTACCCTTACCAATCTTTAAACTCATCCAGAAGAGTAATCAGAAGCCCCAGCCTCACTCCACGGTCAGTTAAGGAAATTAAGACAAATTTGAGGAAACAAAAAAATTATAGACATAAAAAGAATAACAATTTTAAAAAATGGACAAAATATTAACATTAATAAATATATACTTATATCTAAAATCCCTAAACCTTGATCTAAAATAAAAATTGGCTACTCTTTTGGTAAGATAGAAACATACATCCCTAGGCCACTCAGATGCTTCAATTGCCAAAGATTTAACCACCTCAAAAACAGATGCTCCAAAACTCCAGTGTGTGGAAGATGTAGAGTGATTGGAACAGACTAGTCCAGATTAATCTGGCAAAAAAATCCCAAATTGCAAGCAAGAACACTTCTGATTCAAAGGAGTGTGAGATCTGGTGAAGAGAAAAAGAAATAATAATAAAATATACTAAAAACATCACATTTCCAGAAGCAAGAGAAATAGTGAAAACTACCTTCTCTACATCTTCATATGTAGAAATTGCAAAAAAGCTTCTTCCAAAAATTACCAACAAAGAATGTCAAAAATGTGGTATAACAAGTAAACTCTGTGAATCAAAATCTGATGAGATAACTTCACTCATAAATGAACTTAGACCAATACTCAAAGAACTAAAATCTACAACAAAACTGGAATCAAACTCCATACCAACAAAAATGAATCAGATGCCCACCAAAGAAATAAATCCAACTAACTTAGAAAACAAATCATTAATATCAAATAAAACAAAACTGTCAAATATTCCAATACAAAATTGATTTGAAGCACTGGAATTGGTGAAAATTAAAAACCTCAAAATTTCTAAATTTTAACAAAGTAATGACACCATAAACAAAAAAATCTGAAGACAAACAAATCTGAAATGTTCTTGGGCTTTGGAGCATCTGTAATATGACTAGATCAAATAGTATAGAACACATGAACATTGATATTTATGAAAACTAATCTAAGATAGAAACCAAGGATGGTCCTTCATCTACAAAGTTAAAACCAAATAAACATGGCCTGTAGAGCAACCAGTTTGCAATGAAATTGGAGGGGAATTAGAGCAAATTTTAAAGAACTGAAAAAACTGATAACAGACTTTTATTCAAATAAAGTACGCTTGCAATAAACAATGCAAAAAGAATCTGACAACTTAAAATATACAAAAGCTATAATAAAACTCCAGGTTAGCCATAGATAATAGACCAACTGGTGGTACATCAATACTGGTAAAAAGTACCACTTCAAACGAGGAACTATACTTAAACACAAATTTACAAGCCATATCTATTAAAATCTCTTTTCATCAGACATGAACCATATGCTACCTATCAAACAGTATAGAACACATGAACATTGACAATTATGAAAACTAATCTTATAACGCCGATCCTCTCGCATGGTGTCAATTGTAACGCGATCTCTGGTCAAGGCGTCCATGTGACACCATATCCTAACCCTACTGGGCCGACATCATCCACAAGAACAGCTGTTGGTCATGTATGGTCCAGTATTACAGGTTAGACCTAAGTCTCCAGTTTCAAATGTTGGTTCGATTTCACTCACCAGCCATGTTGTGATTCTTTGATCCTGGTGAGTAGTTATCGGGTCATAGAATTCTGAAAGCTCTTCGTTGGTCTACCTGCAAGCTTGTTGGGTGAGAATCAGGTTAACGGCAAATAAATATGACCAAGTCAATCCGATTTTAGAGGGACAAAGGTTTTATATATATATATATATATATATATATATATATATAAACAATATACATAATAATACAATTCTTGTGGCAAAAAGTTGAATGTCTCTTGTATATGAACAATGATCAACAAAACAAAAAAAATACTTTCTGTAATTTTGTTAAAGAAGAGAGGTGTCTCCGTTATAACCCTTTTTGATTACTGTGGCTTGTTTGACGTTTCCATTCTCAGTGGTAGTAATAATAGTAACAGTAGTAGTCTTAGCTGTTGGAGGAAGTAATTTGCTTCTTCATACTTGTATCAACAGCACATGTTAATGGACGCTTTGTTTCAATCTCTGATGTCACTTCCTCTCTTCTTTGAGTCTCCAACTCAACTATCCAACTGTCTCTAACCCAACTCTGCTCTCTTCCAGTTAGCTTGCCTCTTTATATAGAGAACTGGTGACGTATTTGTTTTTCTAGTGCGAATGTACTGACATACTTTTATTAGGAATGGGTCGACCCATTTTCCGGCACACTTCCCACTTGTTTCATCTTTTGGTACCCTGACCGCTGTCATTGTTCTAAGTTTGTCTATTAATGGCTCCGAGTAATTTTGGTAATTTTACATAGATTCATGCTGTCTTGTTATCGATAAAATTAACCTTTAGATAATGACATTCTGAATTCTATTTTCTGTTAATAATCTGATGTCTTTTGTATGCTTAAAGTGAAAAAGAAAGATTGTTTTTCGTTTTCTAAATAAAATTTGTAACATTTACATTTCAAAGTCTTTACAACATTTTTAAAAATCAAGACATGAAAGTGAATACCAAAATAAATTTGTAGAATTAATGAGCCACACTGTGGTTTGAAGGAATCCCTTTAAATTTAACTTCTCACCTTTAACTACACTCATTAATCCTGTATATGATCTTCCTCATATCAGTAATAATAGAGATTGCATTACTTGAAAAGCGGTTTCAAATTGTCACTTTCTACTATTTTTAATAAATTATTCAGCTTATTTATAACATGGTTAATTGGTTTGATATCAATTATAAGGCATTCAAACTTTTACTTTTCTTGGATTTTGGATGAGTTCTGAATCATTGAGTGAAAGTATTGATTATTTGATTAATCATTTTGGGATAAAGTTTGCATCAGGATTGGGGGATAGGATTACATGCACTTTAAGTACATCTATAGACTTTTAAAATACACGTTACCCTCATTTAAATTAGGTCATAATATTTAAGAAAGAATTTACAGCTGTTTCCTCCTCATTATTTTTCAGAAGAAAACGAAAAAGTGTGCCTAATGGTCAACAGAGAGTCACACAAGGTTGCCCAGTAAGTGATTAACTTTGTTTTTTATTTTTAACTTTCCTTTACATAATAAGGAATTTTGCAATATTTGCACTCCTGGTCAAAATCTTAAGACCAGATACAAAAGGGTTAAAAAAATGTAAAATAATTGTTACTTTAATTGAAATATATTTGCAAAGCATTTACATTTAATTAGAGAATGTAGTTTATCAACATACAAGTGAAATTTTTAACCTTTTAACTGATTAATTTAAACAAACATAGAAAAAGTATTTTTTTTTTTGTTGGTCATAAAGATAAGGCCATATAAATAAAAATAGAAAATACAGAACAAATATGTCACAATGACAATTTAGAATATCCTCCATTTTGCAAATTATATCAAAAATTCACTTTGGCATACTCATTATTAACTGAGGGTGCTTGGGATACTTGCCCAGGATGCATAAACTGCAGCACGAAGAGCATCCACAATTTCAAATTTCAATCCATATTTATGAACATCCTTTACCATCCATCCTCAAACATTCTCAATTGTGTTTAGACCTGAAGAGCATTGTGGATGGAACAAAAGCTGAATGTTGTTTTCCATAAAAAAACTCCTTCAGCCTTGGAGCATTGTGAATTGCAGCATTGTCCTATTGGAAAATCCAGTTTCCTCCACATAGACGAGGGCCTTCAGTAATTAGTGATGCATTTATTAACATGTGAATGTAACTAGCAGCTGTTTGACAACCTTTTACCTCCTATAACTCAAGAGTTCCAGTGTACAAAAATGAACCCCAGATCATAATTGATCCACCTCCACTCTGTTGTGTTGAGAAAATTTCTTTTGGGACATATTTTGCATGCCAGTAATGCTGAAAACCATCTGAGGTTGAATTTTTTCTCGTCTGCAAACAACACTTTCTTCCATTTATCCACATTCCAAGTTTGATAATCAGAAGCAAATTGTAAATGGGAGGTTTTATGGCATGGAAGAAGGCTGGGCCTCTGCAGCCATTTCACTTTCTTAAACCCTTTCTTATTTAAATGCCGTCAAATTGTTCAAGAGCTGCATTCAGCATCTGTATTCGCTTTTATCTGATTTAATGTTAGGTTTGAATCTCTCTTAACTTCTCCCCTAATGCATCTGTCTAGGGATGGTGAGATTTTATCAGGTTGACGGCTTCATTCTTTAGAAGCATACGCATCCAGACTTTTAATGAAGTTAGCAATGACAGTTCTGCTATGGCCAATTTCATTTGCCTTGGCTTGTTGCAAAAGACCACATCTTTGAAGTTCCACAATCCTGCCCTGTTCCCACTTTGTTAAAATTTTACCCATAGCCATTTTAAAATTTGTAATTTAAGGCTGGAAATTAGCTAAGTAGATGTCTACATGCCTGAAGCTATGAGCACATGGACTAGTTCTAAAATTTTTGTCAGGTAATTTTTTTTTTTTTCACACATAGTATTTTTTGGTTGGTCATAAAGATAAGTCATAAAGTAGCAGTATTTTATATTTTTTAACCCTTTTCTATCTGGTCTTAAGATTTCAACCAGAAGTGTATGACAAATGATCTTGTTATTTTCTATTATGTGTGTGTGTGTGTGTGGCTGTATGTATGTATGTATTTACATTATTGTTATTTCAATATACTAAACTGCTTCCTTCTATGGCATTTAAGCTCTTTCTTGTCTTTAGACTTGGAGTTATTTTCCTTGGATGGTCTCAAAATTTGAGTGAAAATTGCTTTATTTTTCAATTTAACCCGATACCATTAAAATTCTCTAACACAAATTGTGCATTGAAGTGTGCCGTTTTTGCTGTGTTGACATACATACAAAAATTGGATCATTTGCATAAATTTCTAACATAAAGCAAGAAGTGTAAAACATTGTTTAGAATATGTAGATATTTACTAAGCTAATTTATTTTTAATAGAAAGCCATTAAAAAGAAAATTTCCTTGTCAAATTAAAATAGGCAGGTAGCTTTGTGTTTGTGGACCACTAAAGACTGTGCTGAAATGGAGAAATATTTTTGCCTTGATATCAAACTAATTATGATAAAAGAAATTGAGATTTTAAAAATATTTTATTGGAGAGCAGAATTTATAAACACAATGAAATTAGTCTGCATAAAAAGAAAGACTTAAGCCATTTGATAATCTTTTCTTTTTGAAAAGAGCACTAAACTTTAAGCCTTCATGATTCACCGGGATGGCTATATACCATGGAATCTTTTTCTGTTTTTGCAAAAAATTAGATCATTACTACCTAAGTTGGAAGTTTTGTTATGCTACCATTTGGCTTTGATTTTACTGTTAAAATATATTCACAGAAATTCTGTCTTTGAACTCTTCTGAAACAATTGGCATGTTTTTCTGGGCTAGTGTTTGTCATTAATTTTTTCCTCCCATATCACAAAATACACTATACGGCTTCAAAAAACTAAAACCTGCCAACTCTTTTCATATACTAAAACCTAAACTGGAATGTCTACTCTTACATATGCTATCTCCATTCAAGAGGTAGATTATAATGCCTCTCTGCAACATTTTTTTTTTATTTTGGTATTCTAAGTAACTCTTGACCTCTTTACCATCCATGTTGGTCTTTGTCCATTCAATCAAATTGTTCAAAGTGCCATTAACAGCTGTTTCACTTGCTTTCAATATATCCTGTGAGTATTAAATTCTTCAAGCTTTCTTTCCTCATTGTGTCCCAGAAATTTCAATTGTCTCTTTCTGATTGTTAGCAGCAGCCTGTCACAAAAAGGAAATAATCATATTTAACAATCAAGAAGTTGACAAAATATTGGTAACTTTTTAAAAACTTGATTTATTTTCTTTTCAGCCAGTTCATGATCAAGATGAATCAAAACTCATGACGAAACCTTGAAGTGATACAAGAAGATAAATACACACACACATATATATATATATATATATATATATATATATATATATATATATATAAGCACATCTATTTATCCCAACTATAATTCAATTAGTCAACATTTGGAATTTTTTTAATTATTTCTCTATTTGTTCATAATTTTTATTGTATTTTTTATTTTATTTTTAATCTTTTTTGACCCACCTCCCAACCTAAGATACAATTTGTCCTTATGTGGCCATGTTACATGTCTGCTTATTGAAGGAAAAGCTATTTTTTAATTTTATTTTTTTCTTAGGTTGAAATATTTAGTTGCTATGGAAAAAGAGTGCCCATCCTGCAATATTTTGCAAAGTTCCCTTAAACTGACTGATCCTTCCAAGATTAAAAAAGGGTGGGAAAAATATATATTTACATATCCAAAATATATCTAGATTTTAAATCCCTGACCAAGTAAGAAAACTAATCCACCCAAAACTTTGAAGATGCAGAGACAATTAAATTGTTAATATCCTCACCATGACACTTCAATTGCAGGAATTTCCAAGGACTGACAGTCTTGTCCCTGTATCTCATTTTATTCCTATTTATTATTAATTTTTCAATTTGTATTATTATTGTCTTCTAGAAAATTCCCATCTCCGCTTAGTTCTTTAAGGCTTGATGAGAGATGGAGAGACAGAAAAACAGAAAACTGCCCTGGAAAGAAAAGGGAGGGAAAAATTTAAAAAAAAAAAAAAAAAAAAAAAAAAAATTGTATATAAATATACCTCAATTATTGGAGAATTGTCCAGTTTTATAATGTGTACTTTATTTCTGAAAGAAATCAGAGAAACAAATTAACATGGAAACACAGCCAGTGTATAATACATGCACACACACACACACACATTTTTGCATACAAACCCAAATATATTTAAAATGTAAAAATATGTATAAATGATAAACATATTTCTCTCTTCAAATTTTAATGAAGACTAATTTCTTTTGTTTATTGTTAATTGCAGATTTTTATAAATTTGAAAGAAGGAAAATAGAAGAAAAAATATCCAAGTGGAAAATGAATTGTTTGTTTGCATTTTTTTTCTTGATGGGGAATAGAAAAAAAATCTAAAATAAAAAAAAAAACCAAATGAAAGTCAATCAAGATAGTTGTTTATTTATTGTAATTATTTTAGTTGTTTATAGTTAAAGCCTGCAGTCAGAAGCCTTAATTCTTTCCCAAATTGGCCCTGTATATTCCCCTCACATCAAGTTCATTGTTGTTTCTTTGTATATTTATTGCAGTAGCTGCAATTCCCATTCAATTCTTTGAGGTGGAAAATGAACTTGTTTACTAATAATTACCCAATTCCTGTCATATTCTTTTTCCGTCCTCTGCTTTTTCGGACCTTGTGCTTATTGACTGGGTTACTAAATATGAGCTTTCCAGAGAGAGTCCCTGCTACCTAAATTTTGTTTCTCTGTATGGGAAGGGTTTATTCTGTAAGCAGCTAATAGGTTAGTTTCTGGTTTATAAATTTATTCTGTGACTAAGTAGTAATTAATATCTCTCCCACCCCATGTATACAATGTTACCAATGAAGTAAGACTGACTGAAATCTAGTTGCAATCTGGTATAGAGACATTTTGCTGGCTCTTCTACATATCAGTAGGAGCTTTAATTCTTAATTCAGTGTTTAGAAATTAACTCATTTGCTTAAGGTCGTAAAAAGAAATGTAATAAAAAAAATACTATAACATTGGGGAGAGGTATAAATTTTCAGATCTTTGCTTAGTCAAATCCTTTTTTATTTATTTATTTTTTTTTTATTTGTTCATAAAATTGAATAATTTGTCTGTTTTATTCTTGATATCACAGACAAAAAAATCGGTTGGCATTTCTCTCCCATAAATTAATTTTGAAGACTTGTCTTTTTTGGACATCTGTAATTCCAGCTGAGTCGCTGCTGCAGCTACCAACGGAACACATATTGCAATCAATGCCCCTGTGCTGTCGCGTCTTTTCCTTACCTTGTTACAGAATGGTTTGCAAACATTTTTGACAGCAAGCCCATACCCCCACACTTATGGTGCCCACATTTTTGATTTGGACCATTCAATAATGAGACTCTATCTCGTTTTATCGATTATCAATGGGAAA